TCACTGAGGGAACACTGCAGGTAATAATGTCCTGAGAGCGCACGCTGTAGCTGCACTCATGCAGAGACATGTAGGAGGAGATGTATGAAGGCAACAGACCAAGAAGTGATTTAAAGATGAAAATGTACCAGTGGGAGAGTCTGTGTGAAGTTAATGATGTCCAGTTAACCAGTGAATACTGGGTGCAGTGGTGGGTACGATAATCACAGCCAGTTATGAATCTTAGTGCACCATGATAGACAGCATCCAACATCTGCAGGGTTCTTATAGGAGCGTTCATGTAAGTAATGTCACCATAATCAATGGAGGGAAGGAAAGTCACAGATACAAGGTGTTTTCTAGCATTCAGGGTTAGACAGGATCTGTTTCTGAAAAAGAAACCCAGTTTAACTTTACCAAGTTTTCCACATGGAGCTTAAAAGAGAGATGTGAGTCGACCAACATACTCACTTATTTATAGGAATCAACAAACTCAATGGGGACACCATTTGAGGATAAAATCGGAGGAAGAACTGCTGGGACCAACTTCCTATTTGAAAAAAGCATCCCTTTGGTTTTGTCAGCATTCAGGACAAGTTTGAGGCAGAACAAATCAGTCTGGATGGTGTTGAATGAAGATTTCAAAAGCTGGAAAGCCTTAGCAACAGTTTTAGCTCGACAATAAACAACTGTGTCGTCAGCATAGAAATGTATGGATGCATTAGGGATGTTTTTACCTACATTATATATGTAGATTGTAAAGAGGGTGGGTCCTAAGACTGAGCCTTGTGGTACACCATTGTTGATTGTTAAATAACTGGAGGAAGTACCATTATGTTGAACACATTACCTCTGGTCTGAGTGATAGTTAGAGAACCAACCAATGGTGTGTTCTGAGAAACCAATTTCTGAGAGTTTATGACACAAGATGTTCTGATCCACAGTGTCAGAATCTTTAGACAGGTCTAAGAAAAGTGTAGCACAATAATCCTTAGCATCCAGTGCTTCAACAACGTCATTAAGAACCTTCAGTGAAGCAGTGGTTGTGCTGTGTTGTTTCCTGAAACCAGATTGATGTGGAGGTAAGATGTTAAATGAGTCCAGGTAATTTTTGATTTGAGAGTTTATCAGTTTTTCTAGAACCTTGGCTAAAATGC